AGCTTCGCGGGGTACGGCCCAAGCAATACAATATGTACAAAGTAATGTGTAATGAGCGGAATGTGTAGCATCCAGTAAGCCCAGATCATCAAGTAACCCAAACTAAAAAAACACATCGCATATTGCGCTTCATGTAACCGGAGGAAGCGTTGATATAGAGCATATATATATATATGTATTTGTACATATATCTATACAAACATAATATAATATGATATAATATGATCAAATATAGAATGAGATAATATGATACAATATTATATAACATAATACGATATAATATAATATATAATGTAATATAACATAACATAATGTAATAGAATTTAAATGAATATAATATAAAATATACTATAGTAAAATATAATGTAATATAATATAATGTAGTAAAATATAATATAATATAATATAATATAGTAAAATAAAATTTAATATAATATAATTTAATTTAATATAGTATAATAGAATGTAATATAATAGAATGTAATGTATTAGAATATAATATAATCATTGTCATTATCATCATCATCACTATTACTATATATATATATATACATATGTCCCCCCCCCCCCCCCCTCCCCCATGTTAACTGGAGAGGATTCGTTGGGATCAGACCTGTGGTCGTGACTGGGTCACAACGACCTTGCCCTCAGCGGTGACTGCGCCTTCGATGTCCTGGACTGCGGAGGGGTTTGGGGTTTCGGATTTAGGGTTTGGGGTTTAGGGTTTAGTTTAGGGGTTTAGGGGTTTAGGGTTTTGGCGTTTATGTTTAGGGTTTTTGGGGTTTAAGGGTTAGGAGGGTTTGGGGTTCAGGGGTATTTGGAATTAAAGGGTTTAGCGGCGTTTGGAGTTAACAGCTGGGGAGTTGCATGGGGCTTAGGGTTTAGGGGAGTTGGAATTAACAACTTTGGGAGTTGAATAGGGTTTTGGGCTTTTTCTAAGAGTTTAAGATTCGAGGCCCCCACATAACCAACGACTCGCTTTCCCACATTCTTGGCTGACCCCTAAACCCTAAACCCTAAACTTAAAACCCCAAAACCCAAAACCCGAAACCCTACACTCTGAAACCTACTTCTTTGCACGTTCCCTCAGTTTGGCCCGAACCTAAACCCTAAACCCTAAACCCTAAACCCTAAACCCTAAACCCTAAACCCTAAACCCTAAACCCTAAACCCTAAACCCTAAACCCTAAACCCTAAACCCTAAAGCCAACTTTGCATCTTGGGCACTGGAGGTGTTTGGCTGCGTCGCCGGGAAAGGCGGAAACACTCTCAGAACCTCCCTTGTCAACAGTGGCCCTATAGGCAGTGTAAACCAAGCCTATACACCTTTAGGGTTTAGGGTTTAGGGTTTAGGGTTTAGGGTTTTAGGGTTTAGGGTTTAGGGTTTAGGGTTTAGGGTTTAGGGTTTAGGGTTTAGGGTTTAGGGTTTAGGGTTTAGGGTACATCTCAGAATCTCCCTACCCTACAAACAGTAGATACCCCATAAAAACAACATGATACACCCCAGAAAAACCTGCAAGCCCTGAATTCCTGTTGGTTAGCAGGGAGGTACCCTATATCCTCCGATATTATGCCCTTTAAGGGACTACATGGGGTACCTCATTCCCTCATTCCCTACTAACCAACAGTAAGCCCTAAACGCCGGCACTCACCTGTGGTTGTCCGGAGAAGTTTGCCTCAATCTTCCTGCAATGTGGGGGGCCCAGGATGGGGTATTGCTGGGCCATGTTGAGGTACACACTCGAATGCCCTCAGCCCTGAACCCTGGTACTGCAAGCCCTGAAACCCCTAAACCCTGAAAACCCTAAAGCCCTCACACCCGGAAGCCCCCCAAAAAAACAGTCAAATTCACCCTAAAGCTTGTAGACGCGTAGCCCACCCCTAAACCCCCGAACCCCCCAAAAAGCTTTGCCACCATGCAAGGTGCCATGCTCAACACATGCGACAGCTCGTCAACCGATCCCCTAAACAGTGAGAACTTTTTCGGGTTGACCGGGTTTCTAGTTGGGTTTTTGTTGGGTGTATATCGGTTTGATGGGATCTCATAGGCTTGACAGGCTATATATCTTAGAGAATTCTTTAGGGCTGTATGGGGCTTCGTGACAGATAGCCCTTAACCGAAACCCTAAACCCTTCATATGGGCCCCTAAATTGGGCCATCCTAACAGTCCTGAAGAGGGATTGTAGTACCCCTATTCGCTTTAAGGGCTCCCAGAGACTCCCAGAGACCCCTTAATTAAGGAATATACCCTAAATGAGAATAGGAACCCTAATATGATTTCAGGTATGTTCCTTAATTAAGGGTTTTTTTTGAGTCTCTGGGCTGTTAGTGAAAGGGGGAACATCCCAACCTATACCCTACTATACTAAGAGTCCTGAATACCGCCGATTGTACTCCCTCTTCAGGATTGTTCGTATACGGGGGAACATCCCAACCTCAGCCCAAGAGGGCCTTCATAATCAGAGCAGGCTTTGGGGGGCTACTATATGATCATCTAGGTATCTAGGCATTATAAGTGTAGACCCTTAGTAGTTATTCTGATCCCCCCCAAAGAAAAGCCTCAATCCCAGGGAGAAAAACAAAAAAACAACTCTAAGCCCGAAACTGAGACATGCAAAGGACACCCACTTGGTATATTACAATAAGGGCACCCTTTTTTGGTTGGTTAATTTACAAAGGGAACCTTGATCAAAAAAAAGGGAAAGGGTACCACTGGGCTACCAAGCCCAACCCGGAGTCGCCAAGTCTCGAATGCTTCGATTTTGGCTGCCCAGGAGACTTTAAGTGCAGTCGATTGGCGCGGCAAGTTTTCGGGTACCCGAGGTACAAGGCTCCAAACCCTAAACCCTAAACCCTAAACCCTAAACCCTAAACCCTAAACCCTAAACCCTAAACCCCAAGAGAACTGACCACATGAGAGCCACGGCCTTCCGAGCTCGAAGAGCGTCTTCAAGAGCTTATTCCTGCAGCGTTTTGGGTTTCGGGGGGGCAAGGTTTCTAGGGTGGAACGGTTTAGGGTTTAGGGCTTATGGGGTATAGGGCTTAGGGTTTAGGGTTTAAGGGCAGGTGGTCGGCCCTAGGTGAGGCAGTGGAAAAAGCCTCGGCCGCCCTTGCGCAACAGTCACACGCTGCTTTTTCTCCAGGCAGACCACTTGAAGTCTCTGGTTGGAGGCTCATGGGCACTTATAACCCCAAGGGTTTAGGGTTTAGGGTTTAGGGTTTAGGGATTAGGGTTTAGAGTTTAAGGTTTAAGGTTTAGGGTTTAGGGTTTAGGGTTTGGGGTTTAGGGTTTAGGGGTACTTTTAAGCCCCCTAAGTCCCCAAGTAGATCATAAGTAGACGTATAACTGGGGTTATGAGTACCCATGAACCTCCATGTGCTTGTCATGAAACCAAGCCTTTCAGGCGGGAAGCACCCAGAGACTCCAAAACCCCTTCATTAAGGAATATACCTTGAATCATATTCGGGTTCCAATTCTAATTTTAGGGTATATTCCTTAAGTAAGGGGTTTTGGAGTCTCTGGGTGCAGCTCTATCATGCGTGTCTGGCAAACGCCACCTACAAGGTCGGCACGTGTGAATCATGAAGCTAAACCTTATAAAGCCTAAACCCTAAACCCTAAACCTCTAAAAGGTGAACATGGACTCAGAAAGCGTACACACGGATCTTCCGACCCGAAAAAACACCTCAAAACAGGCGATGTCGCGCGAAAAGTTTAACACTCGTGTATTGTCTCAACCCAGAGACTCCCAGAGACCCCTTAAATTAAGGAATAGACCCTAAGTTAGAATAGGAGCCCTAATATGATTTAAGGTATATTCCTTAAATTAAGGAATATACCCTAAGTTAGAATAGGAGCCCTAATATGATTTAAGGTATATTCCTTAATTAAGGGGTTTTGGAGTCTCCGGGAAGTTCTTGCGGATGCATTGAAGGTTGGGACCGGCTGGGGCGCTGCGACTACGTCCTGGCAGTGCTGCGATGGCAGAGAATCTAGAAATCTTTAGGGTTTAGGGTTTAGGGTTTAGGGTTTAGGCCAAGACGTTGAGAGGTGGTCCAGCGGCCCCTTGAGCAAATAGTAGACTCGGCTTGCGAATGCCGCAGCAGAGATTCCTCAGTGTCTGGGCTCCTGTTCAGGAAGTGAGTTCCGTTGCCACGAAATAGCGCGATATGCTAGGGTATATGGTAAATAGCAGGGGTCTTCGGACAACGGCCCACTTAAGTTAAGTTCCTTTACAAGAACCCAGATGAAGCCGTTCAGGCGAGGATGCAGCAACTTACCTGTACAAGAACCCAGATGAAGCCTTTCAGGCGGGAAGCACGCAGCTCTCTTTCATGCGTGTCTGGCAAACGCCACTACTCAATGCGTGGTAACATCAAGGGTGTCTTGAACGGAAGCGTAAGCTGAAACAAAAACAAGCTGAACATGCACTCAGAAAGTTACACTCAGATCTTCAGATCCTCCTCACTGCTCTACTGGCTGGTTCTTAGTAGGGAATGAGGGAATGAGGTACCCTATTACTATATCCCCCTATATACCTTTTAAGGGATTCAATAGGGTACCTCATTCCCCGACTCCCTAAAAAGAACCCGGGGGTCTAACTCTAACAAAGGCTGTACCTCTCCAACAGTTCGCTGACTTGTATTGAAACAATTGCAGATGTATTGAGGAGGCTGGGACTAGCTGGGGACGCTTCCAGTATGGGTTTAGGGTTTAGGGTTTCGGGTTTAAGGTTTAGGGCCGAACATGTAGGAATCCAGGATTCTAGTCGGGGTTGAGAAGCCTTTCATGCCCCGCAGTCCCTCAGCTTTCCCAGGCCTACGACAAAGCCGGGCTGGACGCCTCAAAAAAGTTGGGCGGAGGCACTGCGATGGCGGATGATCTAGGAATCTCTATACGCTTCGAGTACGTAGGGTTTAGGGTTCAGGGTTAGGAATCTCTACATGCTTCGAGTAGGGTTTGGACTGGACAAGTCTTCCATACCGTGCAAAAAGCGCCTCAGCTCGTTACTCGAGCACCAGCTTGCCCCTGAGAAACATTCGCGCGCAAGGCCTGCACCGTCTCACGAATACGGATCTTGGTACCCTCCGCACACTTCCTGGCCGCCATGTTCGTCAGGTTGCGGAAACCCATCGCGCGCAAGCAGCGCATCAACCCGAGTGGCGGGCGGCCAGAAACCCCTGCTGGTGCCGCTGCTGCCGGGGCGTCCTCAGACTGGACCTCGTTTTCCAGGATGCCCATGAGAGCCTCAGTGCCCTGAAGCTCCATGGCGCGGGCCTTGTCCGCGAGCAGCTCCAGGGCCAAAGGGAGAAAGTGGGCCTTGGGCATCTCTTCGATGATGCGGCGCTGCCTCTTGTCCAACTTCGGGCCAGGACTGTGGGGAAGGTGGCAGTAGTTGCACGCATCACCTGGGAGGTTTACGAACATAGGGGTTCCTTACAAGGGGATCCTACTATTTGGGGGTCTATATCGGGGGGACCCCCTATTTTCGCATAAACCCCGGGCCTGCCAAACAGTTCCTCCCGACCAGGAAGTGCAAGCATGGGCGCTGGCAAAGTTCCGGATGCCCGAAACTCCCTGCACTGGGCACCGGATGCAGGTCCGGCGGTGCTTCCGGTGCTTCGCCCTGGGAGGAGGGAAGCGTGGGCACCAT